TAATGTTCATTTCTATCTTAAGATAACATTGATGATACTTAGCAGACTAAACTGAAATTATTGTGGGTTTCTGCATATTAGTAGCACAGTGAGACATAGTGTATTTTCAATTTGGTAAGAAGAAAAGAAAACAAAAATTTTAAATTACTGATTTTTTTGTTTTGTTTTGAAAAATGTACTTAATACCACATAGCTACACGGAAGTACTTTAAGAGCTAGAAACAACTGCCAGAAAATATTTCAAAAAGTCTGAACTTATTTGCATCCCACAGAGCTGATCCTGTCCAAATTCCCTTTGAAACCACCAGGAGTTCCACATTTCTATCAGCAAACTAACAAGAAGGCAAGAACAACGGCCTTTACAAATTAACTCTGGTTATCAAGACATTATGAAAATGGCTTTTCCATCCATTCTTAGAGAAACTAAGCTGTCCGTGTCTTCTCTCAAGATTTAACCCCACTTTGGGAAGTATGCAAAATTAAGCTATATTTTTTCTGGTTTCCGCCCCCCCCCCCCCCAGAGTCTATACATTATAAATCTTTTACTATGATAAATATGTTACTCTTTAAGCAATTAATATTTGGGATGTATTATTTTCTTTTTCTGTGTGTAATATAAAATTTCTCATCTAAGGAATCTAATTTTCAATTTAAGTTTTAAAAAATACAACCTGTTTTCATGATAAAAAGTTCTTTCTTTGGAACACTGAATTCAGCTTTAGAAATAAGGGCAGAGAATTTCTTGGCGGGAGATGCTGCTGAGGTGTAATGAAATGCATCAAAATTATCACGAACATTCTCAAGCATGGTTCAGCTTAAAGGAAAGCGAATCCTGAACACGACACTTCTATGTATTTGATTTCTACAAAGGTAATAGGTATAAATTCCCCCTGAATAAGGAAGGAAGAAAGGGGTGTAGCAAAAAAGGCAAGAGTGATGTTAATCCTCACTTAATAGTGAGGAAATGGAGTACAGAAGATTCAGGGAGCCCGCATCTCAGTGAGCGTAAAGGCCTCAGGCGCAGCCCTCTGCTGGCAGCCCATTACTGTTAGGAAAGATGAAAAACACTTAATAGCAGGAACAGAGGCTGGCTGGTCTTGTATCAGGAACAGAGGCTGGCTGGTCAGATGGCTAGGGAACTTTATGTGGAAAATGCGAAAGTGAGGGAAAGTCCCAGATGACAAAGGGCACGGTAGTGCAATGAGATGAGTAGAAAACTTGTCCTCCTTTGTACCCAAAATAGTACATCAGAGAAATGTGCAGCCACAGCAAGAAAAGAAGGGACACTCCACACTTTTTCCCCAAATGATGAGGAGAAAACAGTAATTAAAATATACACTCAGGGAAAGATGCACTATTATTCCTTAGACCTCCATTGGGTAAGGTCTAAGGACACTTTCTTAAATTTATGCAACTAAGGTCAACAGGTTATTGAATTATATCACAAGAAAACAGTGGAAAACTAATGATAAAGGACACAGTAGCAAATATAACACAACCCAGAAGTCTCAGTCCTGGTTGGTACCCACTCACTACAGCATACCTGGTTCCACATGACGAATGCTTCTACTTTGGTCTTGGGTTATCATCTGTCAACTAAACCCAGTAAATTAGCAGAAATAATAGAGCTGAAAGCTAAATAATGGCCGCATCGACCTCAGTGTGCTAATGATGAAATTGTATTAACCACACAGTATCTTAATTGATTTTGTTGGCCACAAATTATTAAAATGGTCTCCAAAGTTTAAGGTCTGAAAAAATTTAGACATGCTTTCTGTAGTTCTAAGTGCACCTAAACTAGATTGTTCCTTAATTAATTGAAGAAATTATAAATAATATTAAGCACATAAAACAATACCTGCCTTAATTTGAGGGATCGATTACATGTGACACATAATATGATAGATTATCCATAAATGTCAATTTATAGTTAATATGTGATAAAGTGGGGCTGGGGATTTAGCTCAGCGGCAAAAGCGCCTGCCTGGCATGCGTAAGGTCATGAGTTCGGTTCCCGGTACCGGAGAAAAACCAAAAAAAAAGAAAAAATATGTGATAAAGTATAAAAATGTCTACATTAGCTGAATACATATTTGAAATATTTTTGATAAGTTATTAATAGTCTTGAATAGATAACATTACTTCCATTTTAAAGGCAAGGACACTAAAATTTAATAGCATTAGGCAACTTATCCTAAATTATATAACTAAGGGCCAGCAATAAATTTGACATCAATCTAACATACACTGTATTTACCCATCATATGATCGAGCTAAGCTATAGTTTGTCAAAGTCATCACTTACATTACCTAAACGTAAGTGATACCTAAACAGCTAGATCTTGAGTAGATGACTAAAAATGTGGCCATTTAACTAGAATAAGGTAAACACACATATGTGAAAATTACCAATTAAATTCTTTATTTTCTTTTCATGATTACCTGCCTAGCTATTGCTCCTAATTTTTGTCTACAATTTTTAGTTCTTTACTTTGTAAATATTTGTCATCCTATTCATCATCTCCCTCAACTAAACAGAAAAATCAATTAATTTCATATACCCAGGTAATAAAAAAATGCATTGAGGCCAAAGCTATTGTTATTTATCTTACTCAGGCAACAACAAAAAATTAACTTCATCATCTCATATACGCAATTGGCAGTACTCCAGTACTGTGGTAAAGTTTTCATAAACAGCCGGGTGTGTTGGCACACCCCTGTAATCCCAGCACTTGGGAGGCTGAAGCAGGAGGATCACAGTGAGTTCGAGACCAGCCTGGGCTACAAAGTGAGCTCAAGACCAGCCTGAACTGCACAGCGAGACCCTGTCTCGAAAAGACAAAAACAAAAACAAAAAAAAAGTTTTTATAAGGAAATCTAAATTGTTGGTTAAGGCCTTGCATTTGTCTCTCTGATCAATAAATCTTTTCCCTATCTTAAGATTCTTTACTGAGCTTTTTATATTATAGTTTACTAATGTGTTTTTAAAAATTATTTCCATCTGAGATTTCAGTGTGAATGACTGTGTTGCACACAAATTTATTTCTATTAAAGAATCTTCTCTGATTGCCTAATCAAAAAATTGTAAAATTTCTCTTTAAAAAATGAAGGGCCAGGGCTATAGCTCAGTGTACAACGACTATCTGGTAAGTGTGAGGTCATGAGTTTTATTCCCAGTACCAAAAAAAAGAAAAGTAACTGAAAATTAAAAGCACCCTTTCCCAATATCTTAATATATATTTGGAGCTTAAATTATGAAAATTTACTTGTAGGGATTATTTGGACATAAAGTTTGTGAACTATTATGTAAAACAATATAATTTTTTTGAATTACATTTTTAATTATATAATAGTGTTATACAATTAAATGGTATAATGGTATTTAGTTTTAGAATGCCAACCTGGACCAGACAACTCAACTTCAGACCAAATTAACAGAAATATTTTTGCTATTGTAAAAACATTTATGTTCTCACAAAAAAATAGTTTCACTTAATAACTACTGATTCTTTTTGAATTAGTTAAGTATTGAAGGTCTGTCCAAGGAAGAAAGTTTAATGTATTTGTTAAATGTGTATTTAAAATGAATGGAATTTGAGAGCTAGATTCTTAGTCAATAAAAATATACTATGATACTATTCTTTTCTTAAAAGAATATAATTACTAAGAGAAGGGAGAACATTTAGTACCTATATAATTCATATGCTCATGTACTTGTTAAAGACACTGGCTATGAAAAAAAGGTATATGCACAAAACACTTGCGTATTTATGTACGCTTTCTGAGAAAAGCAAAATACTATCAGTGATCCTAAAATAATCTTAGTGCACAGGCCCAGATATCATAAATTCATTAAATATTTCTGTTTACAATGAAGAACTAATCAATATTTATAAAATATAAAGGTACTATAAGGAAATAATAGTCAATATAATAAATACTAGTTTGAATTACATAAATTTCCACCAACAAAATGTTTCCCCCTTTCTTAAGGTATGTTCACATGAAAAAATGACCCATGGAATAAATAATCAAGATTCCTTCACCACTGTTCAAAGTGAAAAAAAATGATAGATAAATTCGTCCGTTAGCTATGCTTTATTTTATGAGGAACAGAGGCATAACACTGACACAGTGAGGGGTAAAAATAAAGGGATGTATGCTTCTTGCTGATGTGCCCTACTTAGAAAACTTTCCCTAGCACTAAGAAGCAAATTGAGAAACTTAGGCATTCTTCACAAATTTAAAAAGACTGGAAATCAGAATATCATCTAAGAATTGTAGGGGAAAGTTCATATGAAGCAAAGGAAAAGTTTTCTCAAAGGAAAGTTCCATGCCCAGATATTCAGGCAGAAGTAAACTTTGAAAAAAAATGTCAATTTAGCTACAACTGGCCTCTAAATACCATGAATGACTCATCATTTGTCTATGTCACTTTTAATTGACTAGCATTCATATTTATCTTTAGCTGACAGGAAATTTTAAAAAGCAAGAAAAAACAAACAAAAAGATCTATGAAACAAAGTCATCAGGATAAATGGGTTTGAGTGTTCATAATTTAGACCATAGGTTCAACTATTTCACTTTTTACTTTCTAAATCGTAAGTATTGGGATATACTTGACATACAAACATAAATGTATGGATGGATATTATTTACACAGTATTCAAAAAGAGCAGCTAGAAAGTCAACTGGTACAAGAACCATTACTCTTTTATTACTAGATAACTTTGTTCTACTTTTCGTGGTAATAGTTTAGCAGGCCACTACAATAACGGCAAACCAGACCTGTGGGGCTCGTCAGTTACTTTTAGGAATAAAGCATCACTCTTTAAATTATGGCTTCATTGTAATAGAAAATACCCTGAATGCAACTCATACATTCTTTCACAGGAGTCATGTTTTCCTCTGCATCCCCCAAAGCAAAAATTAGCAGTTCTCAATCCAAACACAGACACTGACAACAATCATTTGCAATTTTGAAAAGCCAAGTGCCCTACCTTTCCTACATAGAGGGGGTCTGAACCCATGTATTCTTCCAGCACGAAGAACTGATTCCACACCCAGCTGCGCTTGGTCCTGGACCTTCCAGATTGGAAATAGGGCTTCGATCTAGACCTTGAGAGCTCTGCTTGACTCATCCCAGAAAAGCACAGGAGAAGAGATATCAGCTGCAGAAAATGGCAGAACTCCACTTTGCCCAACTTCATCTCTTTTTTTTCTTTCTTTTTCCTGTGTAAGAAAAAAAACTTGACAAGAGAAAAGGCACAGTTCCAGTTGGCTTAGTAGCTCTTGCCTCCGGCAGGGTGTCAGCTGGGAGTCCAGAGATAATAATTTGTAGAGTGTTATATTGGAAGAGGTCACCACTGCTGAATAGCTTTTGCCAAAGAATGGTGTAATAGGTACCTATCAGAACAAAAAGAAACCTTGCATCAGAAACCATAACACATTATAAATGGAACTTTCATTTATTAAATGAATACTGAATCTCCCAACATAGCATTTCTAAATTAATTAATATATTTGTTCCATATTTAGAAAATTTCAATAACTGTTGCCATATTTTGTGAATTACATAAACAGTGCTGATGTAGAATTATCTTCATTCCATAACACAACCTTAAAATTTCATGTCTCTCCTAGGACATTTTATTTGAACATATGGTTTATTTTACACAAATGTAGCAGCATCGTGTTAAAATCATTTTAATGTTAGCCTTTTTTTATATTAGAGGCAGTTTCTTTCACTGGTATTAGAATGTAAAAGCAAAGCAGCTCAAAGCAGGGATTTAACCAAATGGGAAGGACATATGCTGGTCTAAATCTCTTGCGTGAAACTGTAAAGAGAAATAAAAAAGTATGAGGTGATTCAAAACTGGTTGATTGATTCTGAGGCACAGAACACCAGCTGTTTGGATGTGTTCTGATTTGATTGTGATCAGCTGAAAAGCTCAGTAGTTTCCATTTTCCACTCTTCAAACTTATTGTCATGTGCTGTGCAGCACGTTGTTATGCTACTTTAGTGACATTATCCTGCACTCAACAAATATTTACTAAACATACCACAGTGGAGCTTGTGCATAGTAGGGCCTTCCTGTATGAACATTTATGGAAGGAAATAGCAGTACTGATCAATAGATGGGTGAGGATACTCAACTCTATTTGTGAGATTCATTGATTGTTGGCTCGCACCCAGGAGGTGCTGCAGCAACAGCTTGGAAGAACCTTTTCATTCTACTGTTTTTTTATTCCAGTCACATAATTCTGATTATGCAAGAGTTATGAAATCAGTTACTAAAAAACTTCCAAACATACCTCAAAACATAGAGGAATGAGAATCTACAACAAGAATGCTATGTTACATGTTGGTTTGTGAATTCATTTTATTAACTATAAATAAATCAACAATGGAATGATTAAGGAAAAGACTTATGTATTTATTTCTCAGTGTGTGTGTGTGTGTGTGTGTGTGTGTGTAAGACAGAAAAATATAGTTTTTTTAGAAATAACTTTAAATACATATGTATATTAAAGCTAAAATTATGCAATCCTTATAAGCTTTTCCATTTTTCCACCCATCCCTCTAACAAAAGTTCCTGTTACTTAAAAAACAAATATCTCTGACAATGAAATTGCATAAGAATATATCATGTATAGTAAATAAATGTGAAAGAGCAAAACATATAACTTTATTGATTATTTTAAATAGTCTACACAACTGGAAGGAACAAGGTACATTGATTTTGAGCTTCATAAAATCAACATCTACACTTTTAAAATAACTCTATAAGGTTTTGATACATCACCAGGCACTTCAAAATGTTTAGCAAATCCACATACATTGACAAACAACAGAATAAATAACTACTAGTATAGAATATTATCTTCAAACTGCATTGAATGCAATGTTACCAAATCTAGCTACCAGCAGAGAAGTAAAGTAGGACACAGAACAGGATAGAGAGGACTGGTTAGTGGGTACAAAAATATAGCCAGACAGGATTAAATTGTAGAATTTTATGACACAATAAAATGGCTATACTCAATAATTTACTCTATACCCTAAAATATCTAAGAAGACAGGTATTTGAATGCTTTGGCTACAAAAAAGTTAATATTTCAGGTGATGAGTATGATAATGACACTGTTTTGATTGTTACATGTATATAAGTGTCAAAATATCTCACTCTACACAGTGAGTATATATTATTATTATGGATCAGTTAACATTTTTAAAAGGTGAAAAACATTTACTTTATTTAGAAATCACCCTGAGGGGCTACCTGTTCCAGACTTAGGGTTATAAACAAGCAATAATGCACTGAAGTCCTTATTTTAACTTAAAATTCCATCATGCAGAAATCTGAAAGCCTGGATCTCCAGAGTTAAAGGAGACAAGTAATTGCCAAAACTAGGAAATGGTACACTGGCATAGCCATCAGTCCAATGACAAGGCAGAAATCATGAAGAGTGGTCATTAGTCTGAGGGACATGAGCAGAGATGGAGCTAGTTCATGAAGCTTCCTTCCTCTAGTGGCAAACCAGGTCTAGGGGTGGGGAAGAGACGTATCAAGTTGCCATTCTCCTATCTCCAGACAGAATGAACTTTCTCTTCGAAGCAATGGCATGAATACTTTCATCTTTGATCCTTAAAACAATGCTTCAAAATGCAACATAGCCAAATTATACTGTCTAGACTACTCATAAACTGAGTATACTTGGTAACATTGAGTCTCTGTGAATATGTATCCCATTTATGGAAGGACTCAAAAACAAATGAGCTTTTGGAATTCAAAATCTGGGTAGCTGCTCTAAGTACATCTTGGTAAACACAGAATGTTACACCTGAAAAAACTCAAATTATGGGTCTGTCGTGTCTTAACTATGCAATCTTGGATAAGTAAAATTCTAAGAAGTTAATTTCTAGGATGAAGCCACAAGTTTATCAACTATAAAATAGAAGTGACAACAATGGCATCTACTTCATAGAATCAAAGGAGCAACTCATAGGACGTTCTGAATAGTGCTTGGTACATTCAAAAGCAACTAAAATAGTTGTTGGGCTACTATTGTCATCAATTTTTACTTTGAAACTGAGTATACTAAAATTAAAGCTTATTAAGAGATGTTAGTTTTTGTTCCAATGTTATCAATGTTATTTTAGGTGTTTTTTTTACTCTAAGAAAAGTCATTCTTTAAAGCTACAGTTGATATCAGAGAAATGCATGTTCATGACTTAGATACAGAGACATCAAAATATTTGAATGGCCAGGCGTGGTGGCACACACCTGTAATCCCATCACTTGGGAGGCTGAGGCAGGAGGATCATTGCGAGTTTGAGACCAGCCTGCACTGCAAACTGAGCTCAAGGCCAGCCTGAACTGTATAGTGAGACCCTGCTTCAAAAAGATAAAAAAAACCTTTTTGAATACAATATATATATATATATAATTTTTTCTTAAAGACATACACTCTATAAGGAGTTATAATTCAAAGACTGGTATCAGAATTGAAGAAGTGTGACACTGCACAGGGAGCCAGTGATGCAGAGCAAAAGAAACATCAGTTGGACTGGAGATCAGGTTACTGGAGTCTTTTTACTACAGCCTCCATCACTTACAATATGACCTTGGATCCCTCTGGAGTTTTTCATATTTATAAAATGAAGAAGCATAAGTCATATAATAAAGTCTAGATTTTTCCCCACGTATTACATTTAGAGACAAATGTACAAACTTGATTTTTTTTAGATTTTTGAAAGTTGTAATGAAGTGCACATCACTAATAATTAAAGCTAAGGGGTAGATGCGTTTAAGAGTGATGGAAATGTAAAACACGTTCAGTTTGTTTACAAAGTGTTGCATGCTCTTTAGCAAGAGCTGTTTCATTTACGCTTTTTGCTTCTCGAAGATTATTTCTTTTCCACACAAGATTGAACATTATCAAGTGACTGGGAAACATCAAAGAAGGGAGTTGTAGAACATGCATGTGTGACATATCTGTGAAGTAAAGATGCCTGAAACTGCACTGTTCCCTTTAAATCAACAGTTTTATAAAAGCAACTACCCTGAACACAAACCTCAATGAATAGACACATTCATGCTAACTTTGTACCAAGAAAGGTAGGCACATAATTGGCATTTACAAAATATTTACACAATGTTTGTATCCATTAGCCTCTGCTAGGTTCTCAAAATAGAAAGTTAACCATATAATAAATCAGTGTATGCATTCTATGGTAACTGAACCATGTTTTTGAATCACAATCACCTTGGGAAACTGTATTTTTCTGCAGTATTGGAATTATTTGCCAAGCTCTGGAGCCAAGTTTTCTCTATTTTGTCTCAAAGCCTAGAAGATTGCACCAGGATACTTTAACAGATTTTGTGCACATTACTGGAGGAAGAAACTCTCATTTATATGGCAGATGAATACCTCTGTAATTCCATTTTGGACTACTGGGAACGCCAAACAATGGTGCTTAGGTAATTGTGATTTGGAGTGTGTTTCATAACATGCTTACCAATATTTTTGGTAGTTACTAACACTGTCAGAAAAGTACATCTGGCCTGGCAGCTGGAAAGTTCTCTGGTCCCATGTTATTTCTTTCTTTTCTTCATAATTCTTTTCCAAATCCTTATTATCTTTTTAATCACAACAGTTTCTTTAGGTAAATGCCAGTATAGCCATTCAACCCAATTTATCCTGCCCTGAGCTGTGTTACCATGTCAGAAAGAAGGACCTTGAAGAGTTATTAAAAAAAAAAAAACCTTAAGTTCTTTGTGTTTGTCAAAAAAGAAGCAAGCAACATTTAAAATTTCTTCATGCACTACATAACCTGTCCAGTTTTTCTGTCTTCTTAGTAGCGTGTTTAAAGGTACAACAATAATATGTTTATATGTAAGTGAACTCAGGTAGAAGGTAAATTGCAATTGTCAACTTTTCACAAGAGTCTAATTTGCCTCAAAATATATGCCCCAAAACAGAAACACTACATCCTGAGAGGTCTACATGGTTCATCTTCCCCCTTTCTCACCTCCTTTCTGATTGAGCTTCCCCTACAGCTGTTAATAACAGCGGCCACATCAAAAAGAAAGAGACCTTTGCAAGAAGCAGGATGGTTGGTATTCTGCCCTGGTGGGAAGGTTAGGAGAGTGATCCTCTGGAGATTGGGACAGCTGACCTCTTCACTATTGCTAGCAGAAAAAAAGTGTAGAAACACATTGGCACACAGTAACTTCTACAGATCTATGTCAACTTCTGGACAGTTACAAATATGGAGCATTATAGCTCTGAGGAAAAAGCAGGGAAAAGCGACATCTGTGCAGAGAAACGAATAGGGGTCAACCAGAGTTGTTTGCAAAACTACTGGTGATGGCTAGTAGAATAATGGCCAATATGAAATA